CGGGAGCACCCACCGCGCCCCACGCGCGCCCCGGGGCAGCGCCCGCCACGGCCACCCGGCCCAGCACCGGCCGTGGGGCGGTTTGTGGCCGAGCTGGTGCTGTGCGAGCTCGGACAGGGGTGGCAGGGCAAACTCCAGCGCCAGCAGGAAGGCTTGGTGCATACTCAGTGTGCGGCCCGGAGCGATTTCTGAGCCCCCACTTAAAGGTGTTTGTTTTAAAGGTCCCACCCAGGCTTTCTCTTGCCTCCTCTCAAACAAAGCTTAAAATAAATAGTGCTATTTCTGCCTCAAATGCGGAGTGGAACTACGTCACGGGTAGCCTTAACTATAGCTTTTTAAGTGTATTTTCAATAGATGGGTGATTTGCTTTCAGGACTTTGTTTCCGTAGTTAACTGTGACACATATGGCTGTGGTTTGGCAAGTGTGTGATGAGGCAGAAAGCAAGGAAAACCTGCAAAAAAAAAAAAGCAAACAAAAAAACCCTAACCCTGCCAATGCCCTAAGCTAACAAGTCCATGGGGGCGCAGAGCACTTACCATGTTGGTACATGAAACCCACTGGCGGCCCACCTGCTCTTTCGAGTCATGTAACCACAGTGGGGAGACAAAGACGCTACGAAGTCACCAAACTATTCAAAGAAAGGCAATTTTGAAGAGTAGCTTTTGAAGAAGTACTGTTATTCCTGTATATTTCTTCACAACGATTAGACAACCTCGCATTGCAAGCAGCGGCTGAATGGCTTGGTCCTTTTCTTCCTTAAAAACAGAAGTGACGGTTTCTTAGAGCGTTACAGAGGCCGTGCAAGTTGCTGCCTCTTTTCCGCTGGCTGATGTCATGCCCTGGTCTCCTGGTTACCCAAAGTCCGCGGGGTGGAATCTGAACTCATTTGGTCTGTTTGTTTCCTCGGAGGGCTGGAAAGTGAATGGACCCGTATTTCCTTCTGCAAAGTTATGAGCTGCTGTCCCTCTGCACCCTTATGTGACTTGAATTTAGATTGCTCTGTGGTATCCTCTCATTTCTTTGGACAACTCTGCAGTGCACTGCCTATCCCTTCCCGGAGGAATCCCGTATGGGATGAGTTATGGTGGCAAAAACCAGTGTTGCACTTCCTCACCTCTTTCTTGCATTCCCTTTGGATATGTTCCCCCCCTCCACTTCATCGGCTTGTGCAGCCAACTTGGCTGGGGTTCAGCTCAGAGCCAGGACACCTACACTGAGGTGTCCGTAGGTAGGTGCCTAGAGGTGCCCAGCCATGTTCTACTGTGTCTAAGCTCTCAGTGTGGCCAACAGAAATCTAGTCAGGACCGTCACTACATCTCAAAGAGTGATCCAGCCACCCTAAAACAGACATGCTGGATGGGACTCATTAGCTACACAAAGGTGCTCATGCAGTTTGGTGCTGTGTAGCCTCTAGGTCCCCCTACAGAAAGGATCTCCTGTAGGACCTGCATCATATCTGCCAGCCTCTTGTGGCTGTCCTGGCTACAAGGAGGTACCCAGAATAGTCCTGGATGTTTTGGGGCTCTCATGTTGCTTGAGTGATCGACTAGATTGTTCTTCAGAATTCACTCCCTGGAGTGAGTGGCTTTCCACTGAGCTTATAAGAGCTTAAACAGACCACAGGTGGAAAGAAAACACCTGTCCTAATTTGAGTCACACCACTTGTGTCCTGATCCAGTAGCCCTGCTCTGAAATTGCTAGACAAATAGCAATGCCAGCATTACTCGTTGGCCCAAATCCACTAGGAAGTCAGCTGTGGCAGAAACAGAGATGACTCCGGCCAGTCACTCTCTGCTGGACGACCAGGCTCGTGCGCGTGTATGCACCTAACACCACTTGGCCTGCTGGTGCCTATTTGTTCTTGCCGTCTTTCCTTACCAGTCAGAACCTAGCCACAGCATTTCTGTAGTCCACCACAGGTCTGGGCAAACATAGAGATACTACAAAAAACAAAAGGAAGCAGAATTTACGTGCACGCAAATATTGCCTTTGGCCCGTAACACACAATCCTACCCAAACTCCACAGAGCTGCCTCATCCCTGGAGCAGGCATTTTTTAGTCTGGTTTGGGCGAGTGTGTCAGAAACAGCATAGGATGGGCTGGGAAAACACTGGAAGCCGTGTCTCAGGGGTGGAAAATGTGGGACTTGTGGTGTACTCAGACTGTCCCTTGCGTCTGCTGCCCATGGTCTTTCACAACACCCTCCTTATCCAAGCTACTCACTTCACATTATGAGTCTGTAAGTATTTGATCCCACATAAAAGTGAGGAGATCAGACACCTGATCAGATAGGAGCAAGGTCATCAGACACCTAAGCAAGCACTATCTTCCTGTGGGAAGGGCTCTTTGATGACAGTGCTTTTAGGGCTCTTTGATGACAGTGCTTTTAGCCTGGTAAGCAGCTTCTTGCAAGTGCTAATTAAGACAAAAGAGGAGAGGTGGAACAGGCCTCAAAGGTTTACTCCAGAACCACCCCGGATGATTAAAGCATGGGCATCTGAGCCAAGGGACTTCCCAGCTGTTCCTAAAACAGGATGCCCACTAAATATGGCGTCCACACATTCCTCTTGCAGCCTCTCTAGTCTGCCACGGATATTTTAAGGAAAAGTGAAATATTTTGAGAATCTGCAGAAATATACCTGAGATTGCTGGAACTGAAGCTAGTGCAGGCAAGGTGGCAGAGGAGCCTGGCCTTTGTATTCAGCAGAGGCACATGTTTCAGGAAAGCCCTTCCAGAGCTTATTGAATCATTTCCAAAGCTCTCATGCAGGACTGGTTCTGACATGGGTAAGATTTTGCAAACAAGCGTGGCAAACTCTGGTTGAGCAAGCTTGGCAGGCCTAGCCAGCGTAGCTAGAGAGAGCGTGGATATTCTCTCTCCTTTGTTGTACTTTAGCTCGGGGGAAGTAGCTTGCTCTGTGTTGTTCCTCTGGGTCACTCTGCAAAGCAGTCTGCATAACCAGCTCCTAGGGTTCCTGTGGTAGCCAAAATGGAGTAAAGGACAGTAAATAATATGTCTTGACTTTTGGGTTTGAATGTTATTAGGAGTAATTTCTGGAGCTTCTGCAGAGGGCTTCCAGTAAAAAGACTCCAGTAAAAAGACTTGTCTTGCTATTGTGCTTCTCCCATGGGTCCCCGGCCCTGGGCTCTCATCATACATTCCAGTGCACTTGGTCTCAAAATATTCTGGAGTGGCACAAGGACATGCAGCTGCACTGGATGGCTTCTAAAGGGACCCATGGCACTGAGGCCAAGGCAGCCCTGCTCTTCAGGGCCCAGCTTTAAGGTAACTAAGCCACTGTCTCCAGCAGCCAGCTGAGTAATCGTCCCACACACTGGAACTTCTCGTGCCCTGCCACAAGTGCTCCAGGCTAGCCTGGCTGAGTAATCAAGTAAGCTGTTAAGAGCCGCAATTCCCTGCAATTCTCTGCTCAGAGGTGTTACACCAATAGCTGGACTTCACTCTTCAGCCTTAACACAGAAAAGTGGTTTTTTTTTTTTTCCCGGATATCCTTCTAGATGTACAACTGAAAAACAGCCTTAGTTGAGGTCAGGTACTTCGTGCCTAGGAGCGAGAAACACAAACAATAAGCTGTCTTGGAGGAGTTCAAACAACTGTCAGTGTCATAAGTAATGCCTTGGGTTTCCCACATAGCTCGTCACCTACATGCATGATTTCATCTTGTCACAGCTTATATAGTCTTTGAGAGACGTGGTCTTATTTTTCTTCCAGGGCTGATTAAGACATACCTTTTTTTCTTGGGTACACTCACATTGTTGTGGCTGTGGGCCCCTAGGAGTGGGTTAAAAAAATAGAATAATTCATTTCCATTCTGGTGCAGTGGAGACCCTACACGCTATGTCCTCCCATGTCTTGGAGGTATAAATTATTACATTGAGTACAAAGACTCAGTTGCTTTTTTGTGCTACCAAAGGTATTTTTTTCCCCTTTTCTTGGTATCACTAGTTGTTGTGGACTCGTGGCATAAATGGAAATTACATCCACTGCTTTTTCTTTTGGATAACTTTAATAACAGCAAGACATGAAGAACCTTGCTTGTATAGAGAAGAAATCACTAACTACTCTGTGCAAGTGATTGAGAAGACAGTGAGAATGAGATAAACACCCTTACGTTTTGAATGGGTACTGTACACAGCATTCTCAGGCAGAATGGCTAGTCAGATTGGTACCAAAAAACCTTCTCGGAAGAAGAGGTCTGCAGTTCAGCATGGGTGGAGTACAAAGAGACCAGTGACTAATACAGCCCATGCCAGCTGGTAAAGAACAGTACTTACGTCCACAGAATGGAATGGCAACCGTGCAGGGTAGTTAGAGCCCGGCTCAAAGGGGATTTCACTTCCTCAGGGTCTGCATCCATTCCCACAGTGCCTGAATGCTGTGATTCACTGTGGATAAAGCACATTTCACCATTACTATTTAGACCTTCTGGGCATGGTACCTAGATTTAGCTAAGTATCATTGGCCTGTAGTGCGTCATTTCTGCTTGACTGGAAACACTGATATTACGAGTATTTATGATCCATTCTATAAGACTGCTTAGATTTCAGCCTGAGAAGAGCCTCAAGATGTTACCAAGACTGGTCATAAAACACAGCCCTTGGGCCAGAGTTTACCGTGCAGATTAAGAGTATATGCAGAATGTTGTTAAATAATTGCATTGGGTGGAAAAAGTATCAGATGGAGAAAGGCAGCAGAGATTGCCTGAGAAAGATAGCATAAATCTAAAGTAAAACCAAGTTTGTTGTTGTTGTTGGTGGTGTTTTTTTTCTTCTTTTGTTGTTGTTGTTGGTGTTTTTTTTCTTTCTGAGATTGGGGTCATATTTGTATTTTATTTACATTTTTATTTATAGTTTGGTCAGAAAGTACAGCTGGAACTCAAAGCCACTGACTAGCTAGGTATTCCCTTGCCTGATCTGTTAAATTGGATAGTTTTGTGTTTTTCACTTGTGATATAAAACACAGGTTGATTGTCATTAATAATGCAAAATATCATCATATATTTTTATGCTATGATGCTTAATATCTAGTTCTTAAATATATTTCCCATGAGAAAACAGTTAACAATATTGGATCTCACAGTAGTTAAGCATGAAGAGACAGGTATCCTAGCTGCCATGGGCACCCAGCTTAGAATGAAATATGTACTGACTGCAGCAAGTCTTGATAGCTGAAGTTAGGTGAGATACATCCTGCATGAATATAGGATATAAGTATAGCTTTATATAACTACTCACTTAAACACAGACACACAATATCATACACATACGATCACAGTGATGCATAATATTAAGCTCAAGATGTGGGACAATTTTAAAAGACAGGAAATATGAGAACCAAGATTGACCAAACAACCATAATTTGGTGGCACTGTGCATCTGTATTGTGACATGGTCTTCATTATAATACCAAAAATTACATTTTTCAATGGGACTCCAGATTCACGTACTGCAAGTGACTATGGAATTGCTCACCGCAGTACCAGCTTGTTACTGAACTTGCAGAACAACCTCCAAAGTAAAGTAGTGATCTCATCACAATTAAAAAAAAAAATCATGATAAAGAGAAACTAGATTAAAAGTGCCAAAACGCCAGCTTCTCCCGCCTGAGTCTCCTGAGATCTGCCATTTCAGAGTAGTCAGCAGGGTGTAGCGCTTTTCTCACTCTACAGCTGCCGCTTGTAGACTTCGGCGATCCTACACAGTACAGACCACTGGTCCTCAAGTATCAAGTCAGGCTTCCGGAAGACATGCGGTCACCATTTAGAAAACAGCAGTGACCACCTAGCAAAAGCTTCACTAAGGAAATTCCCAAACA